CAAATAATGGCATTCAAAAAGATATTTTATTTTATTCCCCATTGGAGACCAATACCACTGGAAAATGTTTACTCGACACTTTTGTAAGACGTACAAGTAAATATGATATTGACTGGGGTAAATGTATTGCTATATGCACAGATGGCGCCAAAATTATGACAGGACATAAATCTGGTCTTGTCGTGAAATTACAAGAAATAATGCCTAATGCCAAATGGAGACATTGTTTTTTTACATCGAGAAGCTCTTGCGTCCAAAGCTTTACCTCCTGAAATGAACTGTGTTATGAAAACCATTATTAAAGTTGTAAATTTGTTTGTAAAGTGTATTTTTAGAAAAAATTGCGAAGACATGGGTGCTTTATTTGAAAATCTTCTCTATCACACCGAAGTAAGGTGGCTTTCAAGGAGCAACGTCTTAAACAGAGTATTTCACTTAAGAGCAGAGCTTTTAATGTATTTGAAAGATGAGAAGTCCCCATATGAAAATTCATTTGCCGATCCTATTTGGCTTCTGAAACTAGGTTTCCTTGCTGATATTTTCGAGTAATGAAATATTTTGAACAGTAATTTACAAGGTCGCGACATTAATATAATTACAGCCACAGATAAAATTAAGGCGTTTCTAAGAAAAATCGATTTATGGTCGACCTCACTTGGCAAAAAACAACTCGATTCATTCCAGTGCCTTCAGGAAATTATGGAAAATGTATTAAATTACGGTGCTACAAATTTTGAACAAGTTTTTGCTGACATGCATGTTACTTTGCTCAATTTAAAACAACAGCTCTGCGATTATTTCCCCGAAGAAATTCAAAACAGTTACGACAGTTGCAGATGGATACTAAATCCGTTTTTAGCCGATTCCTTTCAGCATGTTGAAATACCAATAAACATGAAAGAAAAACTTATTGAAATATCAAGTGATGGAATGTTGAAGCACCAATTTTTTTCCCAGAACTCGGACCAATTTTGGACCGAAAAGATGCAGGAATACCCCCAGTTGGCGAGTGAAGCTGTAAAATGTTTGGTTCCATTTGTAATATCATATTTGTATGAGTTAAGTTTCTCGTCTATGACTGTCATTAAAACAAGAGTTAGAAATCGTCTTGTACTTGAAAATGATACAATTATGTGTGTCTCAAATACACAGCCTAGATTTGAAAGATTAGTTTCACAGAAACAGGCGCATAGCTCTCATTAACCCTTTCGGTCATCGTGTCCACACCGATGGACATCGATTTTCAAAGCATTTTCTTAAAACATCGATGGTTATTATCGCCCAAATCATTTTGTCCATGTGTGGGTACATGCATAAGAAAAGCATTGAATACATTGATAGCCATCTGTTAGTCGATTTGTGAAGCTATATAAAACGCAAAACAGGTTGCATTTAGCACGCTGTCGTGGTGGTGAAAACACCTGTTTGTTATTGGAACGATTTCTATTGAATAAACTTGTTTTTTCGTACAAATACCTGCTGATTTGGGTAAGTAAAGAGCATTAGTATAGTGTGTTTATATTATGTATCAAACTGTTGACTGAAAATATCTTATAAAGTGGTGTATATTTATATGTCCATGTAGATGGACAAAATGACTTAGGTATACTTATGCATATAAAAAGTAGCAAGGTCCTGTTGTTTTAGATATCCATAAAATGGAAAGTTTACCGTCAACTAGTAAAGAAAAGAGATGGTCACGACCCTTGACTGAGGATGAACTTCTGGATTTACTCATGAAAGACGATGACTCAGAAATATTACGTTTTTCAGATGCTGATGACGCCAACAGTATTGCGGATCTAAATGACGTTTCCTCAGAATTTGGCGATGACATCCAAGATATTGAGGAAACTATTTTTGACGGATTGATCCAAGAACAGAAGTCAACAGAAAGAGGAGAGTTAGAAAATCTAGAATATCCCAATGAAGTGACTACAGAACAACCAATGTCTGAGGACATGAAAACCAAAGAAAATTCCAACCAAACCACTGAAAAACAAACAACTGCAAAGGAGAGACTGCTATAGTTTTGTAAAGAGTTCAAACTCACAAATAAGAAAGATGTTTGTTGGAAAAAAATATTACCTATCTTACCAGGCCAGTACAGTGGTTTGTTCCAGAAGAAGTACAAGTTGATGAATTACCTGCTCCTATTGAATATTTTATGAAATACATACCTGATGCTCTGTTTGAGAAGATTTCAGAAATGACTAACTTATATGCCGTACAAAAAAATACTACTCGGTTTTCTCCATCAGATAAAGAAGAAATAAAGCGATTTGTAGGCATTCACATTATTATGGGAAATCTAAAATTCCCAATAGCAAGACTGTATTGGTCCCAGCTTACAGGTATTTTAATTGTAAAAGATAATATGACATTCAATCGCTTCTCTAAGTTGCGCAATACCATTCACTTAGTAGATGTAACAGCAAGAGGTGACGAAACAGATCGCATTTGGAAAGTCCGAGAAATATATAATTCCATTAGAAATCGTTGTAGGGAACTTCAAATCGAAACAAATTTGTGCATTGACGAGCAAATATGTTCCATTCAAGGGACAGATCAATGTCAAGCAGTACCTCCCAAATAAACCGAAAAAATGGGGGATCAAATTATGAATATTGGCTGGACAATCTGGTACCATTTACGATTTTATCATATATCAAGGTGCTGAAACGGAAATAAAAGAAAATTATGCACAGTTTGGACAAGGAGCTGGAACTGTGATGCAGCTAGTTGAGAGAATTCTAGAAACTCATCACGGTTTGTATTTTGATAATTTCTTTAGTTCTTATCACCTCTTTCAATGGTTGAACAATAAATCTATTATGGCTTTTGGAACAATTAGAATAAACCGATTTTTTGGACCAGAACTAACATCTGATAAAGATCTAAAAAAAATGGTAGAGGTAGTTTTGATGTAGCGGTTAGTGAAGATGTAATTGTGATTACAAAATGGTTCGACAATAAACCAGTTTTAGTGGCTTCAAATTTTGTTGCAGCGGGAAAAATGGATTTGTGCCAGAGATGGGATAAGACGTCGAAAGAGTATATAAATGTATCTAGACCGGAAGCCATATCGCTTTACAATTCCAACATGGGTGGTGTTGATAAGTTAGATTTTTTATTGAGCGTTTACAGATCCTACAGACGATCCAGAAAATGGACTGTACGTATGATAACACATGCTATAGATATGGCGATAGTAAATTCCTGGTTGGAATATAGAAAACAAGCTGAACTGCTAGGCTTACAACACAATAAAATCCTGGATTTGTGGGACTTTAGAATGAGTATTGGGCAACACCTCATTTTACATAAGGTTCCACCAAAGAGAGGCAGACCATCTGGTCAAGAAAATACTGGTACACCAAATAATAAAAAAAACAAAACTGAAGCAAGGCCATATATTGAATTACGGTTCGACAGCTATGGACATTTTCCGAAAATAGATGAAAAAAAAGATAGTACACGTTGCAAAATGGAGAACTGTAAGGGAAAATCACATACATTTTGCGTGAAATGTAATGTTCACTTATGTTTTGTAAGCGGTCGTAACTGTTTTTTTAAATTTCATATAAAATGATTAATTTGTTATTTACAAAGAATATTGTTTATTTCGTCATTCTAATCATATTTAAATAAATTTCTAAAATCTTCAGGTTTATTTTATTTTGCTTCAAGTCATAATGTACATCAACATGGACATGTCATATGCCAAGTGACATATGACATATCAAAAAAAAATGATGTTAAAATTATCAACAAAAATAGTTTATTTTATATACCAAATATGAGAATTTTCCCATAGCTCAAAAAAAGTTGTGACTGAAAGGGTTAAGATTATAATATTTAACTTTGTTTTACTCTTTTATTTTTATGGACTTTAATATTTAGTTTTATATTTCGTCTAATAATTTATAATGGTTAATTTCTATTTACGGCGTTGTTAAAATAAAAATACATGATCTAACAAAGTGGTGCTTTTTGTCTTATTTTGGAAATGTTCGGCGACCCCCCTAGTACCTCATGGCGACCCCCACTTTGGAAAACACTGCATTAGGCCATACGGATGGGAAATATAAAAGGGAAATTCCACTATTAAGTCAGTAACATATCCAGGATACATCCTTTATGTTTTTAAATAATATTCATATAAAATGATACTGAACATTCATGTAAAATCGTACAATATGAATCAGTCAGAAGAAATTAAATTAATAGAATTTTTCACCAAGTAACAAAAAAAAAACAAAATTTTTTTAATTTATTAATGTTTTGTATTTTAAGAACGATTTCCGAAGTGGAAATTGAAACGTCACTAAACTTATTTTAAACTTTAAAAAATATTAATTACATTAAGAAGCCACAAGAGAATAGCTTTAGAACAATGTACAGAAAACAGTAAAAACGTTTTAATAATTAATATAAAGCTTCGCGCTAGTCTACAGTATCGCCTATTAAACCTTTTTTTTAAACAAGCAAATTCTGGTTTATTTTGCGGCCGAGTGTATATTATAATAATAAATTAAATTATCTGCAAAATGCAGATTAATATTTAATAAACTTTGAGGGTATACAAGGCAACTATCGAACACGGTGATTAATTTAATCTTGCCCAAGTAACCTGTCACATGTCACATGTCATCTCTATATTTCCGTCAGACCGGGAGCCCATTCTGTCTCCGGCTTCTATACAACATGTAGCTTCTCCTTAAAAATTTTAAAGTGTTTGTTTGTCTTAGTGTATTGCATTTTGTATTGTTATGTCCAAATTTTACATTTATGACATTCTACTATGTCGGATAGGCCACAACTGACGAAATGCCCATGAAGATGATCTATTGATCGGAAGTACTTGGGCAAGATTAAATTAATCAGCGTGTTCGATAGTTGCCTTGTATACCCTCAAAGTTTAATTATTCGAACATTCAACCTTATATTGTAATATTTAATAGTTGGCAGAAAATAGTATAGTAATAAATAAAAATTACCAGCAAAATGTCGATTGATCTTTCATAGTTGGCGGAGAACCTTTATCTTGAGTGGGTGGGAAAGGACAAATTGGAGTATTGACTATATAGCAAGCTACGACATTATCTTTGGGATCTTTAATATAATCACCAAAAGCACATTTTCTGGTTTCATAATTGCTTTCCTTGTCAACCATAAGCGGTTTTGTCAAAGGGTATATAGGTGGGTTATAACTTATTTTTTTGTCTGCAGATTTGGGATCAGTACATTGGTCTTTGAAGCACGGTGAGTCACCAGCAAAGGGAAAATCTTGATGTGCAAAGGAAGCCGCAGGTTTTAAAGGTAATTCAGTATTCTCCACAATATTTTTACTACTTATATTTTCGACCACAAAATTCTGAGGAACACCAAATAGTGTTTTTGTTGATATTGCGATCTTTTCGTTATTTACATCTAAAAAAATAAATTGTATTAAGATCTAAAACTAAAATTAAATCTAAATTAATGTAAAAAAAATGTTAAATTTTAATTTGAATTGGAACAAAGTGCGAGTAAAAATGTAATAATTGCAAAGATATGCTTAAGGTTATAAGAAATTATATATAGGTACTGGTTTCAACTTTTCACAACAAAAATATAATCGAACTACGGGTGATTTTTAAGAAATTTGAAACAGAAAATAAAAATAATTAATATCCACATTACAGACGTATAACCATGCTATATATAGATATATAGATAAATGCAGATAAATAGATAAATTACGCAAATGCAGATAAGATGAAAAAAATATATGCAAGAATTATTTGAAGATGCAACACGAAGTTTGACTGAAATAAACAATCCCTATGGCCCAGAAATAACAAAAGAAGAAGTAACTATGGCCATTAAGTAGATTAAAGATGGGAAATCACCAGGACCTGATGAGGTGCATGGTGAAATTTTAAAGCTATTAGAGTCACACCAAATCACAGCTCTTACGAAGCTATTTAACACCTACGAGACTGGTACTTACCAAAAGACTGGCTACTATCAATATTCATTCCACTTATTAAAAAAGCTAACGCTAGAGAATGTGAAGAATATAGATTAATTAGTTTGATGCGCTATGTACGTAAATTACTCTTTACTATAATTCACTCGCGCATATACACCAAATTAGAAAAACACCTGAGTGAAGTTCAATTTGGATTCAGAGCAGGACTCGGAATGAGGAAAGCCCTTTTTAGTTTGTAAGTTCTAATACAAAGAGCCAGGGATGTCAACTGCGATGTGTATGCATGTTTTATTGATTTATAGAAGGCATTTAATAAAGTCACACATGGGAAACTAATCGATATCCTAAAAACATCAGGACTCGATGGTAAGAATATAGGACTGAACTCAAACTTATACCTTCAACAAAAAGCAATAGTACGATTAGAAAATAACCTATCCGAGACCTTCACAGTCGAAAAAGAAGTTAGACAGGGTTGCATATTTTCACCGGTATTATTTAACATATACTCTGAACACATCTTTAGAGAGGCCTTGGACGAATTTAAAGATGGGATTGCTGTAAATGACCAACTGATAAACAACATTAGATATGCAGACGATACAGTGTTGCTGGCAGATAGTGCGCAGGGGTTCCAAAGGATGATGGATAACGTTGTAGAGGCATATAACAAAATACGGCCTGAAACTAAATTGCAAGAAGACAAAAGATAATGTGAACCTTTAGTAAGAGTGGAAAAATATGCCATCTGAGCTGCAATATTAAGAATACTTGTGATCCCAGCTACGAAATAAAAATTCTATTTAAAAAGCCAGAAGCACTTTCAACAGTGTTAGGAAGATTCTCTGCAACTTATCTTTAAGTATCAATATACGCATAAGAATTCTTAGATGTTACGTCTTTAGTGTCCTCATTTATGGGGTAAAAACCTGGAGCCTTTCAGAAGATGCAAAAAAACGATTGGAGGAATTTGAAATATGGTGCTACCGACGCATGTTGAGAATCTCATATATACACCACACAAGTAACATAACTATTCTCCAAAGGCTAAGAAAGGACAAAGAAATTATTAACACCATAAAAAACAGAAAGTTCGGCCACATCATGTGTAATGATAAATACCGACTTCTACAGGTGATTCTAAAAGGCAAGATTGAGGGTAAGAGAGGCCCTAAACTTAGAATCCTTTCTGGCCAGTCTTAGGAAATAGACTGGTCTAACGTCAACTGATCTATTTCGATCTGCTGTAAATAGAATAAGATGGGTCAATGTGGTTGCCAAAATCTCTAGAAGATAGGCACCATGGACGTATAAACACAGATGGACTCAGTTATTTACATAAAATTGTGAAGTCAAAATTATTTGAATAGGTCACATTCTCAGCACCTTCAACTGTTGTCACGTTTGTTAAATTTCTTATTCGCGAGTCGCTGAAAATATTACTCCGTATTTTATACTCTACAGATGCTATCAAACCAAAATAATAATTTATTGGTTAAATTAATATATTTAATTGTAATCAAAATATAAAGTGTGCACATAGTGTGCATTATCATTTAATAATACCGTATAATAGATATCAATCAATTATTTTATATGTAGAAGCACTGAAAACTATTTATAAATGGCAACGGTTGTTTACATTTCTCTGTCTTATGGATCTACGTCAAACTTCAAATGCTGTTCCATGTTTGTTGTCCTTTTTAGTAAAAGTTGTTTTTCGATATTTTGGCTGTATTTTGAGTGATATTTGTGAAAAGTGAAATAAAATAAATGAAATATTTACATCCCGATCTCTCATTTCATTTGTAAGTACATACAATTTACATTATTTAAGATTAGGAAATGAGGAAGCGTGTTTGTTTACATTTTAATAGGCGTACCATTGGGTTTATTCATGTTCATTAATGTATTGAATAAGATATAAGTTCATGATTATTGTAGACATTTTTAAATTGTAAGTAGACCATCTGATTAAAAAAGATCTGTTTAGTACATTTTTAAAATGTGTTTTTATACATTATTACTACTTCCAATTTTTAAAATCTGAATAATTACCCGCGAGTAAAAATTCAAGCACGCTTATGCTCATTGCGGAAGCATCACATTCTATGGAAGCTTTAAAACATTGTGTGTTAAAGGTATCTTATTGCTGTGTCCATCTATGTTTATACGTCCATGATAGGCACATTTAGAAGAATAACCATGCTCCCACAATGATTATATGACCTGACAATAAAAACATTGGCAAATAATCTCTATACGTCTGTTCATACTACCACGCTATAAAGTTGACTTTACATTATGTAGTTTTCATGCTATGCAAGAGATATTATGCAAGTGCGTATGCAGACGGGATATTTCCAAGCAATTGCTATGTTTGACGAAAAAATAGAACATTTTCTATTTTTTATGCAATGTTGATGCAACTAGCAAAGTGTACATTTATTGGATGTAATATTTTGGGATTTATATTTGAAAATATTTAATGATGAACTGAAATTTCCAAGTGAAATATCTAAAGTTAGTGTTTTGATATATTTCTTCTGGTATCTATAACAGTGAAAGTGGTATTCCAAAATTGCACAAAAGTAGCTTTAATGTAAACAGATGATAAGGCTAGGCAGGAGATATGCTATGTAAGACGGACCTGCATAGCATGAGAATTGCTTGGCCTAGATGTAAACCTTTTTCTCAGTCCTAATCCCTTTTGGGATGTGGTGACACCATCAGGCCTTAACAGTTTTTCCACGGTTTCTCTCCATCCTTTTCTATTCTGGGCTAGTTGTTCGGCTTCATGCAACCCTTGCTTATTCAATATTTTTGTTTGATCTACCCAACGACTTGAAGATCTTTCCCTAGGTCTCTTTCCTTCAACTCTGCCCTCGGCTATCAGTTTTTCCAGTGTGCCTGTTCTGCTAGCGATGTGTCCAAAATACTGCAAATATATCTGTTGTAACTGTTTAAGCAATATATCCTTTACTTTAGGTTCTTCTAATGTTAATACGTTAGTGCGATGATCAATCCAGGATATTCTCAACATGCGGCGGTATACCCACATTTCAAAAGCGTCCAGTTTATTTTTATCCGCTTTCTTTAAGGTCGACGTTTCGGATGCGTATGTGGCTATGCACCAGTGCTAGATGAGTGCCTAGATGTAAACATAGCATAAGAAATATAGGTAGGAAAAGAAAAGGTAGACGTCAGGAAGAATTACCATAATAATTGAAAAATAATCCGAAAGTAGTAGGAATGTAGAAATATTTGCTTAATTTAAAGTGTTGAATAAAACATTCTGATTTTTCTTACTTGGAGGTACACTAGGAAACAATGATTTTGATACTACAATACCAATATCATTTAATCCTATGTACTGGCACGCAGCTACCGCCACACTCGGTGGTGATTGACAGGAACAGCTATTTTTACTAACGGAAAACGTATTAACTGAAATTCTCTCTCCTTTTCTTTTCTCTACCATATCTGTTAAGTCTTTTATCATCTTTACTGCATCTAAAATATACATTAAAACAAAAAATTAGTTGATTTTTGATTTGATTTTATTTAGTGAGTCGGTTAGATAGACAAGCGGGCTAGGCGGCCGATTCTTATTCGCTTCACTGTCGAATGGTTCAGTGGATGTGGGTTCGAGCTCCAGCTCGGTGTACAGAAAAATAAAAAGGTTAACGCAGCAGTTTAAAATTGTAGATGAATCTTGGTGTCTGATCGGCCTATGGTGGAGCAGTACGGTAAGAGATAAGGGCTTGCGGCTCGGTGATACTCCTCCATATATCCCTACTGGAAGGGTGCGGGTCAATCTACATTTAACCTATAACTCTAATAATAAGAAAATTATTTTTAAAAGCTTGAAACTTGAAAAAAAAAATACACAATAAATTAGAGGAATTAAAATAAAAATGAAAAATTTTCTATTTTTTTAATTTTTTTTATGTAGGAAAACGACTGGTGCGTTTATGCACTATTGGTAGATACCATTGATTTTGTTTTTCAAATTTTTATCGAATTAATTTTTTAATGTTGGCTGTGCCGTTTATTATCCTTCCAAAAATATTAACCTAATATACAAATTGTCAGATATGATGTCAATTTTTAGTGTTGAGCTTATTGCCATAAAATTACCAATGTGTATGCTGTAGGAAATAATGGAAAAGGAATATAATAACACGCTACCTTTCCTGGATGTTTTAATCTCTAAGAACGATACTGGATATGAGACTCAGGTGTATACAAAACCAACACACACCAATAGATATTTAAATTTCAAATCAAATGATAATATTAATGTAAAAAAGGGAATAATTAAATCCTTATACGATAGAGCCAAAATTACTTGTTCTAACGAAAATTCGTTCTTGGAGGAGAAACATGTGTTAACATCTGTTTTATTAAAAAATGATTCTTTATCGTTTATAAATAAGGAATTTTCAACAATCGATCGAATAGAACAGAACAACTTAGAACGAGATCCTACAGCATACACAAGGAATAATACGAGGAAAATAATAATACCGTACATAAAAGGATTATCATAAAAACTTAAAAGGATAGGAAATAAATTCAAAATTTCAACAACATTCAAAACAACAAACACGTTGAGATCTATTTTGCCCAAAACCAAATCTAACAATGAACAAGAAAGGACAAAGAATTGCATTTATAAAATACCTTGTGAATGCGATTAGTTTTATTTAGGTGAAACATCAAGGCCATTAAATGTTAGAAAAAGTGAACATCAATCTTATATTAAAAATAGAGAATTTGATAGATCTCAAATATGTAAACACGCATGGAATAATGAACATAGGGTTCAATGGAATAATTCAAATGTAGTCCTAAAACAAACGGATGGTAAAAAAAGAAAAATCAAAGAAGCGGCTTTAATTATGCTAAATGAGGCTAATTGTGTCGCAAATTCCTCGGCAGAATGTAGTAGGATCTGGTTACCAATATTGAAAGAGGAAGTTATTAATAAGAAAATACCAGTATAAGTGAGTTATTAACATATAGAGAATATATCATTTATGTTTTTTAAATAACGAAACATATAAAATCAGATTTTTTTTGTTTATTGAAAGTAAACTAAATGCACGAACAAATACTTACCATGTGGAGATAGTATTATTAGGTTTTTTTCTTGGTTTTTCCCTCATAATTTACTATGGAATCACTAACAGGAGAATTTTACTGTTATCATGTCATGTGTTTGTCTTTTTAAAGACGAATTACATGCTATCATTTTTTTCTGACGGATATTCTCAAGTTACAGTTGATTTCATGTAATCGAATAAACTAAATAAAGTCGTCCCAGGAGCGCAACTCAACAATATTGGCAATATCATTTTAAAGTCGTCTACTTTAAAATGCATAATGTATGTTTGACTTATCAATATAAATGAGTCAGATAAAATTAAATTATTAGAAGAATTTTTCACTATGTAACAAAAAACAAAATTTGTTTAATTTACTGTTTGTATTTTGAGAACGATTTCCGAAGTGGAAATTGAAACGTCAATAAAGGTATTTTTAGCTTTAATTGTGGCTTATTCCCAGTTAAATAGTAATTAAAGGTGGTATTGCTTTGAATTTGCCGACGGACTATAGTTAGATGGAAGCAACTTTTACATGAATAATTTTTCAATATGTGTCGACTTAAAAAATTAGTTCAGGGAAAAGCATCAATCGTAGAAAGAAACGACTCGGCTGGAGTCGTGAAATTACCCGTAAAATCGTGAAATTAACAGTTCACGGTATAATATATTTTTTTAAATAAGTCACCCCCTTCAATTAATTGTTGGAATATAGCATTATTCCAACAAATTATTGAAATGTGAAATGTGAAATGTGAAATGTGAAATGTGAAATGTGAAATGTGAAATATGAAATAGTGAAAGCAAAAAATGTACCAAGAACAGCTAAACTGCGAGTCTACGAGGCAGTAATCAGTCCCACTGTGACGTATGCCAGTGAAACGTGGATTATAAACCAGTAGGAAGAAAAGAAAGCAGAAATCTGGGAAAGAAAGGGCTCATTAAAATCTTCGGAGGAATAAAGACGGCAGAGAATATTTGGAAAAGACGAACGAATAAAGAAATAATGAGGATGTAAGGAATACCAGCAATTACGGCAAAAATACGAGCCCAAAAAGCTAGATGGCTTGGTCACATTCTACGAATGCCAGAGAATCTAAATGTTAAAACAATACTGAAGGAGAAATAAATGGGGAAAAAGAAGAGGACGTCTAAAGAAGAAGTGGTTGGAAGCAAGAGAGTCAGAACCAAGTAGTCAAGGGACCAAAAAAAAAATGGAGAGAAATAACCAAGTTTATAGAAGCCAGGGGTTTACAAGGCCTGTAGCGCTGTTATATATAATCTTAAATCAACTCTAATAATAATAACAAGTAAAATAACATAGTATGTTGCTAATAATTACCGGTAAGCTCTGTCGGGATATTCAAACAATTTTCACGTGGATCAGAATCTTTTATCGTTTTACTTAATTTTCTAGCTAGAACGTTTAAATTTGATTCATGTAGCGTATTTTCAGTTACTAATTCTGAAACGACGCAATCTGTATCTTTTAAATAATCATAAGTTGCCTCCAGTTGTTCTGCACTAATTTCTTCTTCGCTGTAAACGTCTTTCTTACTAGCTAATTTTCTTTGTGTTATTCGTTTTAATGTTTCTGCTTCGTTTACCTTCTGATTTACTAAATCTTCCTCTAGTTTGGCACACAATCCATCTAATACCTCCATCTCATTTCTTAACCTAAAATTAAAGAAATATATTATAAGATAAATAATATGAGTGTATTTGCTTTGCGTCTATGTTTAACCCATACCAAAAAATGTTGTATTGCACCGCTATTGATTGAACGTGGTCTATTGTTTGGGACCCGATTAACTCTAGAATATAATATATAACGGGTATCTACTCAATCAACCCTACCTCTGAAGCCAGAAAAATATTACAGCTTTTACTCCCACTTCTATTTTCAAACTTGGGATTCCTATTGCCGAATTGATCAAAAATGGTAAAAAGGTCGGTTATATTTATTTGAGAAAAATGCGATAAGCAGCTGCTGAAAAACAGGATAGTACCAACCTACGTGAAACATAATATGGTATATTTTACAAGAAATTGGTTCTATAAATTTGTATTGTTATAAACAAAGCTTAATTTTATGTCTTGATGATTTTGTGCAAGTTTAAATTACTTTAATCATATTTCTGCAATGCATTTTCTATAAAATATTCAAACAATAATTGGTTTGTATACAAAAACTAATTAATCAATGAGCGAACGGTAGGTAGTGAAAGATGAAAATATATATATTTAAATAATTTATTTTTATATTATATTTTATATTATATTTATTTTTATTTTTAGAAATTAAAAGTTTATCCAGTCAACACTTACTTACATTATTATTTTCTCTTAGGAACTAATTTTCAAAGATATAGATATTGCAACAATAAGTGAAGTTTTCATAATAAGGCCACGTTTTTCTTAAAAAATTGAAGCAGTAGTTTGGTGTTGAACATATGTCGATAATCCCCACACCTGAATATGTAAGAGAATATTCCGAAAAGCTCAGTATTCAGAGAAAGTTTTCTTGGTATTACACTTCGTCACTTTCTTCCTCTGAATCACTGTTCTCCGCATTGATAATAATTTTATTTAGAACAGGAATGTTTTTAAGATATTTTTTTCGATATTTTTTACGTGCTCTATTGCTTTCTTCCAGTTATTCTCAGAGATATTTTTAAATTCACAATCTATTAGTTTCACGACAGTGTTATAACATTTTGGACTTACAATTTTTGGCTCACATTATATTTCAGTTGAGACCATAACATAACATAAACTCTATTGGATTTAAAACGCAGTAATATGGTGGTAGTTTTAAAGTTGTATGTCCATTTTTACTTGCTGCATTATCAATAATATATTCCTTTACAAATAATTTTGTATTAAGTACCTCTACTAATTGGTCTTTAGTGTACAAATCTTGAGATATATAAACATATATATATATATATATATATATATATATATATATATATATATATATATATAAAGGATGAATGATCACAGCTGTCCAATTATTAATTAGTATAATGGTAAGGTTAATTGGGTTAGCAGCTGCTACCCAATTAACCTTACCATTATACTAATATATATATATATATATATATATATATATATATATATATATATATATATATTTAAAAATATAATCATATAAATATTTATATTTGATATATAAACATAAACATAAATCTTGTGATAATAAAAATTCTTGCAATTCATCCTTTCTAGAGTGATAATATGATGCATTATCTAAAACAATAACACTGTAGTCTGCAATTTGGTAATAAGTTATTTTTAAACCACAATTCGAAAAGTTCACCAGTAATATCTTGATGATAGTCCAAACAACTGTCTTTAGTGTCTTTTGCACGTAATAGTAAGCCATCGGTTATCCAACCGTCTTCCTTTCCACACATAAATGTAAAATTTTGTGAAAATAAAGGGTGAAATTTTGGCATAATTTGGTATCACTTATTTGACAGTTGCGGTGTTGACACTTTTTATACTTTATTATTTTGAATTTTAAAGTGAATACCTCTTGTTTTTAATTTTTACCTATTTAATAAATTTCCATCAAATTCGTACATATCCATTACATATCCTAACCCACTAAAGATACGCACTGGCCCGCGCGGTAGTGAAACGGCTAAACCCCCCTCCTCTATTCATTTATGCAAAATTCAGGAAACGAACGGTAGTCTTCGGACCAAGGTAGCGGTCAGAGGAAAGACGGAGTAGAGGGTGCTAAGAATCCCCGGGTTAAACTAGGCTACCATAGACGACAACCTATGCATATTGCTTCATATAATGTGATAACAATGTCATCAGAGTCTAAATTGTTAGAAATGGACAAAGAGCTAAAATCAATAAAGTGGAACGTAATGAGTCTCAGCGAAGGCAGAAGAAGAGGAGAAGAACAATATACTCTTAAATCTGGCCACTTATTCCATTTCAAGGGAAAAGACAATTCATCACATGGTGGGGTTGGATTTATCGTACACAAACGACATGTACCAAACATATTAAAAATAGAAAGTGTAAGCTCGAGAGTTATCACTCTAATCTTAAAGTTGAATTCGAGATATAAATTCAAATTGATACAAGTGTATTCACCAACGACAAGCCACACAGATGAAGAGATTGAAATGTTCTTTGAAGATATTAGAACAGCCCTGAAAAGTACTAAGACGTTTTATACTCTGATAACAGGAGATTTTAATGCTAAGCTGGGAAATAAAGAAGACCAAAGTAAAACCGCACTAGGAAACTACGGCTATGGAGAAAGAAATGAAAGAGGGACCATGCTTGTAGATTTTTTACACCAAGAAAATCTTTTTTCTATGAACTCATTCTTTCAAAAAAAGCCCCAACGAAAGTGGACGTGGAAAAGTCCAGACGGTTTCACAAAGAACGAAATAGATTTTATCATTGCTAATAAAAAAGAAATTGTACAAGATGTATCTGTTTTAAACAGATTTACAATTGGAAGCGATCACAGATTGATTCGAGCAAAAATTCTGTTCAATTTAAAGAATGAACGAACAAAAATGATAAAATCAGACAATCGTAAATGGACCCCGCCCGAAAATACAGACCACTTTCGTGACATCATTGACCATAACCTTCAACAAATCAACGACGAAACACAGGTCGAAGTTTTAAACGAAAGTATCGTAAAAGCCCTTAAAGAAGCGGAGAAGTTGTGCTGTCCTAAAATGAAGAAAAAACATGAGAAAATAAGTCTCAACACTAAAAATCTGATCGAAGAAAGAAGGAGGCTAAAGGACAGGTATAACACAAACTACGCAGAATTTAGTCAACTCAGTAAAACAATAAACAAAGAAATCCGAAAAGACATACGGCAACATAACATGAGAGAGGTGACAAGGGTGATAGAGAAAAATAGAAGTCTGAAAGTTCTAAGACACAACATGTCCACAGGAAAAAAGAACATACATAAGTTAAGAAATAAACAAGACGACATTGTGACTGATAAGGAAGAAATAGTGAAAACAGTGGAAGACTTCTACAGACAACTCTATGAAACAAGTGAATCCGATGAAAGACGCCCTTACCAAAGATAGAGAATCAAGGCTCAGAATTAATGCCGAACATAACTGTTGACGAAATTAAAAATGCACTTCGGGTGATGAAGAACAATAAATCCCCAGGTGAAGACAGGGTAATGACCGAAAGCCTAAAACTAGGAGGAAATAAGCTCTTACTGACACTTGCTAAACTGTTCAATAAATGTCTGTGCGAAGCGATAACACCGACGCAGTGGAACAACGCGGAAATCATCTTACTTCATAAGAAGGGAGATATCAGCGACCTTAGAAACTACCGCCCCATTAGCTTGTTGTCACAAGTATATAAGCTATTTACAAGAGTTATTACCAACAGGCTAGGAAGTAAGTTGGATTTCTATCAGCCAAGAGAGCAAGCAGGTTTTAGAGCAGGATATGGCACGAATGATCATTTACAAGTAATTAAGAACTTAATAGAAAAGAGTGTTGAATATAACAAGCCATTAGTCATGATATTTGTTGACTACGAAAAAGCTTTCGACACAATAAGTCATCAAAATATGTTAAAAGCCTTAACAGAGTGCCGTATAGATCATCGCTATATAAACATGATAAAATACATCTATCAAAATGGAACAGCAGGCGTGAAACTGGCAGATAAAAAGACCAACGTATTTAAAATAAAACGGGGAGTGCGACAGGGAGACACAATTTCGCCAAAATTGTTTACAACATTATTAGAGCATATGTTTAAGAACGCAAATCTGAGTGAAAAAGGAATTAATGTCAATGGAGAAATGCTTAGTTATTTGAGGTTTGCTGACGATATTGTCCTTTTTGCTGACAGAATTGATGATGCAGTATCGCAACTGGAGAAACTATACCTAGCCTCCCTACAAGTTGGATTAAAAATCAACCACACAAACATACAAATCTTGTTAACGAAAAGATTTCAGTAAATGGCATGCATATTGAAGAAACTACCTCTTATAAGTACTTAGGACATGAGATACGCATAGGAAGAGATAATCAAACGTGCGAACTAAGCCGCCGCATAGGACTCACTTGGGTGGCATTCGGCAAGCTGAGCTATTTTCTTAAATCAGAACTGCCTATGTGTCTTAAAAGAAAAGTCTTTAATCAGTGCGTGTTGCCAGTACTTACATATGGTGCAAAGACATGGTGCAACACTAACCAAGAAAGTAAGAAATAAAATTTGTGTTACCCAAAGAGCCATGGAACGATCGATGTTAGGCATTTCTCGTAGGGATCGTATCACGAACAAGGAAATAAGACGGAGAACAGGAGTGACAGATGCCATAGAAAGAATTAAGACCCTTAAGTGGAACTGGGCGGAGCACATAGCTAGAATGTCGGATAACAGATGGACACAGCGAATAATACAGTGGAGACCAAGACAAGAAGCACATCAAAGTAGAGGTCGTCCACCAACAAGATGGTCTGATGACATAAAACGGATCGACAAAAATTGGATGCAAACAGCACAAAACAAAAATACATGGAAAAGATTGAGGGAGACCTATATCCAGCAGTGGATAGATCTGGGTTAAATGATGATGATGAATACATTGTTTAAAATATCAAAGAGAAGACTATATACCTGGAAGTCACCATCAGATCAAGAAGAGAGAATTGTAAGAAACCAAATAGACTATGTATTAGTTATACAAAGATACAGAAACGCAATTATATCCGCAAAAACCTATTCACGTGCCGACATAGGATTAAATCACGACCCAGTAGTGAGCAAAATTAGGCTCAAAATGAAAATAATAAAACGAAGAACAACAAAAGCAAAAATCGATACAAGTAAATTAAGGAACCCACTCCTAAGGCAACGCCTGGCAGATGAAATTAACAACGGATTAATGAATGTTAAAGAACAAATTCTGCAAAAATACTGAGACGGATAAAAAATGGTTATTAATAAAGACAGAAATAGGTAAAAATCAAAAAGAAATTCTAATATCAACCAGATATAAAATTTTATAAAATTTTAGATTTAATGAAAGAAAGACGTCAATATAAAAACAAAAAAAAATTAGATGTACAAAAAAGTGGTTAAACAAATAAAATACAGAATTAAGAAAGCGAAAGAACAATGGTTTAAAGAACAATGAGCAGAAATAAAAGAATATCAGAAAAGACATGATAGAACAAGAAAACCGGGAATACCGAAATATGCAAATGGGAAGTTTGTATTGAATACTAACGACAAATTAAAGAGATGGACAGAATACATCAATAAACTGTTCAAAGACAATAGAAGAGAGCAGATGGAGATAGAAGTAGAAGAGGATATAGTTTTAAAGATATTAAAAAAAGAAATTAAAATGGTATAAAAATATAAAGCAGTAGGTCCAGACCAAATCCCTATAGAAATCTTAAAATGCATAAATGATGAAATCTTAGACATTATACTAGACTTATTTAACTAAGTATACAAAACAGGACACGTATCATGGTTACTCTCCACCTTTTATGCTATCCCTAAAAATACAAACGCTAAATATTACAGCAAATACAAAACAATATTTTTGACAATAATACATGGTCGTATAAATAAAAAACTGGAAGAAGGAAGAGATGATAGTCAGTTTGGGTTCAGAAACGGACTAGGAACTAGAGAAGCGTTGTTTGCCTGTGTTAGCTCAAAGACGAATGGATATGAATGTAGATGTGCATATTTTTTACGTTGATTTTGAAAAAGCATTTGACAAAGTAAGACATGAAAAATTAGTCCATATTCTAAAGACAAAAAACATAGACCATAGGGACTTACGAATAATAACAAACCTCTATTGGAATCAAAGAGCACAAATCGTAATAGATAATGAATCCAGTCCAGAAATTGAAAACAGGAAAGGAGTTAGGTAGGGATGTATTATGTCCCCATTACTATTTAATGTATATGGTGAAGCCATTTTTGAAGAAGCATTACTATCTCAAAGTGAAGGAATAATAATTAACGGAAGATATATTTACAACATAAGATATGCAAATGACACCGTGATTATGGCAAGCTCTGCTGAACTATTCCAATTACTGCTAAACAAAATAAACAGTTTCTGTGAAAAATATGGACTAAAAATGAGTATAAAAAGACCAGATATATGATAATTACAAAGAAAACAAATATACCAACAAACATACATTTGGGAAATGTACCGATAGAAAGGGTTGATAAATAAAAATAGCTAGGAATTTGGATTTCAGACAATACTGATCAAACAACCGAAATAAGAGCTAGGATAAAAATAGAAAGAAATGCGTTTTTAAAAATGAAAACAATTCTCTGCAACAAAGAAGACCTTAGATTAGAACTGAGAGTAAGAGCACTGAGATGCTACGTGTTTTCTATACTGCAATATGGACTTGAAAGCTGAACATTGAAGCAAGAACATAATAAATAAGTTACAGAGACATAAATAAGTTACAGTCCTTTGAAATGTGGTGTTGCAGGAGGATGCTTAGAATAGCATGGACATAGAAGAAAACTAACACGGAAGTATAGCGAGAAATGTGCAAAGAATGCGAAATAATAAACACAATAAAAATAAGAAAGTTACAATATCTGGGACATGTAATGAGGGGACACCGATATGAACTGCTAAGGCTGATAATACAGGGAAAGATAAGAGGAGAAAGGAGTATAGGAAAAAGGAGAGTGTCATGATTAAAGAATTTAAGAGATTGGTTTAAATGCAATTCTATAAAACTCTTCAGAGTGAAGATATTTTATTTATAAAAAGTACTGTACCTAGGTAGTGTACTTTATGGAATTGAAATCGAGTTATTTGGAATGTTTTAAAATTATAAACATTATTATTTTTAGGCTTTTAAAAGATAACAATAGATATATCTCGGCAACTATTAGCTTAAATTAAATTTAAAAAACGTCAATGGAGAAGACTCGGTAACACGCTTCTTTTAAAAGAAAAAAGTTGAATTACGAGTAGTGGTTCCTGAGATACAAGCAGTCAAAGTTAACCAGCATTTGCAACGAAGTTATAAACAATAGGATGATAATCTTTAAAACATTACTTTTCTATTTAAGAGTTCTTTCTTATAAAAATATTTAAGATATAACAAAATATTATAATAATAAAATCCATATCTGTATTTCGCATGAAAAACATCAAAACAATTTGGTTGAAGAAAATTTAATTTCCAAGTTCAAAATTGGTCTACGTAAAAAAATGTACTTTCTCGGCTTCCAATGAAGTAATTTTCTTCATTTTTTTAATTCGATGTAACTCGATTAGAGACACTTAAAAAACCAAATCTCAAAGTTGCTTGAGCGTTGTTATAAATAAATAAATTTATTTAAAGTCGACAGAGACAAAAATGTCACTGAATCTCTAAAAATCATACAAAAAAGATGAATTTTGCTGAGAATGTTAATTTTGGGACCATAAAATATATGCAAAAACGTGTACTACTCCTAATCCCCGGCTTACGCCGAAAACTACCCCCTTGTAGGGGAATAAAACAGAAAAAACTGATTTACCAAGAATCTGTATGTCATAGAAAAAAATATTTTATTTAAAAAATGTAACTTAATTACTATTAAACTGGGAATAAGCCACAATTAAAGATAAAAATACGTTTATTGACGTTTTAATTTCCACTTCGGAAATCGTTCTCAAAATACAAACAGTAAATTAAACAAATTTTGTTGTTTGTTACATAGTGAAAAATTCTTCTAATAATTTAATTTTATCTGACTCATTTATATTGACAATTCAGACATACATTATGCATTTTAAAGTAGACGACTTTAAAATGATATTGCCAATATTGTTGAGTTGCGCTCCTGAGACGACTTTACTTATAAGATAGTTCATTCGATTACATGAAATCAACTTTAACTTGAGAATATCCGTCAGAAAAAAATCATAGCATGTAATTCGTCTTTAAAAAGACAAACACATGACATGATGACAGTAAAATTCTCCTGTTAGTGATTCCATAGTAAATTATGAGGGAAAAACCAGGTAAAAAACCTCATAATACTATCCCGACATTGTAAGTATTTGTTCGTGAATTTAGTTTACCTTCAACAAACATCAAAATTCTGATTTTATATGTTACATTATTTAAAAACATAAATGATGTATCCTCTATAATATGTTACTGACTTACTAATACTGGTATTTTCTTATTAATAACTTCCTCTTTCAATATTGGTAACCAAATCCTACTACATTCTGCCGAGGAATTTATTTGTGACACAACAAATTATAGTTGTAACAAAAATAGTAGGATCTGGTTACCAATATTGGAAGAGTAAGATATTAATAAGAAAATACCAGTATTAGTAAGTCAGTAACATATAGAGGATACATCATTTATGTTTTCTTTAATAACGTAACATATAAAATCAGAATTTTGATGTTTGTTGAAGGTAAACTAAATTCACGAACAAATACTTACAATGTCGGGATAGTATTATGAGGTTTTTTTCCTGGTTTTTCCCTCATAATTTACTATGGAATCACTAACAGGAGAATTTTACTGTCATCATGTCATGTGTTTGTCTTTTTAAAGACGAATTACATGCTATGATTTTTTTCTGACGGATATTCTCAAGTTAAAGTTGATTTCATGTAATCGAATGAACTATCTTATAAGTAAAGTCGTGCCAGGAGCGCAACTCAACAATATTGGCAATATCATTTTAAAGTCGTCTACTTTAAAATGCATAATGTATGTCTGAATTGTCAATATAAATGAGTCAGATAAAATTAAATTATTAGAAGAATTTTTCACTATGTACCAAAAAACAAAATTTGTTTAATTTACTGTTTGTATTTTGAGAACGATTTCCGAAGTGGAAATTGAAACGTCAATAAACGTATTTTTATCTTTAATTGTGGCTTATTCCCAGTTTAATAGTAATTAATTTACAATGCCACAAGAAAATAGCTTCAGAACAATATTAAAAAATGTAGCTGAGATAATTTTGAACAACAATGTTTAATATCACTTTAAGTGTAAAATAAACTGTTCTCTAAAAAATAAAGCTTGAAGCAACCGGCGATTGCTTCTACGCGAAATCATTTTTAAATAAAATAGCTTCTACGCTACGCGCCCGAAATCATTTTTAAATAAAATAAATAAATTTGTACTAATTCGACGGTAAAAATTCGACAGTTTCTTATGCATGTTCTTCATGTTGTCGCAATTAAAGTCAGTTTCTATAATAGTTTGAAATAAATAAACGTTGCGCGATTTTTACCATTTTTTGGTAACTGAATTCGTTTAACCGATTCTGATGAGTTCATTAAAATTTATTACTTTTTCATTAACTATGGAACCAGCCACTATAGAATCTCCATTGTTAAATCCCAATCTTCAGACACTATTGCATAAAATTTTGGTTTTGATTTTTGGCAACAAATGTAAGGCATTTGAAATATGCCTAAAAACGCTGAATTTTAAATATCTTTTTACAAACGATTACACGTGTCACGAAAATATTTGCAAAACCAGTCGGAATTCTTTAAAATCATTAAATAAATTTCCGTAAACAGCTTACCTCTGATTTATAGCTTCCAATTGAGCCATATTAGTAGTAGCTTCAAATAGTTGGGCTTTTAGTTTTTGACTTTCTTTTATAAATGTATCTTTCGAAAGTTCCATAGCATGGGATGCTCTATGTAATTCTTGTTGAAGTTGCTCACACCTAAACTTCTCGGCTTCCAATTTGCTTCTCATTGGACCTTCAACTTTTTCTAAGGCATGCTTAAGCTCTAATTTCATTTCTAGTAATTCACTCTGGAAAAATATTCACTTTGTATATAAATTTTGAACAACAAACGTAACGAAAATAAACAATGTTTATTCTCCTCTAACAAACCATATACTAACAGCTGACTGACTATTTAGTGCAGCTTCCATCAGCATGGAGATGCCCAAAGGCATTAATTTTCCAATACAATACTTGGTTTGTACATTTCACTCTCAATTAATGTTATAGCTGCTCAGTCACTTAATTTGTTATTATTTAGTATCGTTTATTGTGTTCCAGTATTGAAATCAAATTTAACTAAAGGAAAATCAAATATAACTAAAATCAAAAATCAACAGGGGAATACGGTGACCGAAAAAACTCAAATAATCAAGGAAATACAAACGTTCTATAAGAATCTTTATACATCTACTATACAGAACCCCGAAACAGACCACAGAACAATTCTAAACGTCGGCTCGGAAACCCTCCCTAAAATAACCTCTTCGGAAATTAGACATGCCTTACAGCAAATGAAAAACAAAAAAGCTCCCGGCGAGGATCGTATAACGTCTGAAATGTTAAAAATGGGCGGCAACATCGTTGTAGAAGTTGTGGAAGTCTTACTGAATAAGTGTCTAACAGAAAAAAGAATACCCAGCCTATGGGAAAACGCCGAAATAATACTTTTACACAAGAAAGGAAACACTACTAATATTGAAAACTACAGACCTATAAGTTTGTTGTCACACTTATACAAATTGTTAACAAGAATAATAACCAACCGCATAACACAAAAACTTGATTTATATCAACCGGTTGAACAGGCGGGATTTAGAAAAGGGTTTGGCGCTAATGATCACTTACAAACCATCAGAACACTAGTAGAAAAAACCACAGAATATAATGTACCTTTACATATGGCATTTATCGACTTTCACAAGGCTTTCGATAGTATTGAGACTTGGTCCGTTTTGTCAGCCCTGAAGGATGCTCGAATAGACTCACGGTACACTACACTCATTAAAAACATTTATGAACAGGCCACATTCTACATCAAAATCAATGAAGACGAAAAAACTGAAAAAATGCGCCTTGATAAAGGTATTAGACAAGGTGACACTATTTCACCAAAGCTTTTTACCTTAGCATTGGAAAATGTATTCAAACAGCTTGACTGGGAGGAAAAAGGTCTAAACATTGATGGTGTACGTTTGAGTCATTTGAGGTTTGCGGATGACATAGTATTATTTAGTACAGATATCAAGGAACTGGAGCAAATGTTGAAGGAATTAAACCAGCAGTCAAATAAAATAGGTCTCAAAATGAACCTTCAGAAAACAAAAATCATGAGTAATTTACAAACTAACCTTGTTATTGACAACGTCAGTCTTGAAAATGTAGACCACTATATATATCTTGGACATACCATTAAAATCGGCAAAGAAAATCAAATAGCCTAAATAAAAAGACGCATACAACTGTCTTGGGGAGCTTTCGGCAAATTAAGCTTTATTTTGAAGAATAAAGATATACCAATGTGTCTAAAACGTAGAGTTTATGACAAATGTATCTTGCCTGTAACTACATATGGACTGGAGACCATGGCCTTCACAAAGAAAACCTTAGAGCAGCTCAGTACAACCCAAAGAGCAATGGAGAGGGCCATGCTAGGGATTAGTTTGAGAGACAGGATTCGAAATAACGTCATTTGTGAAAGAACAAAAATTACTGATGTCTCAGAACGTATTGCAAGGCTCAAGTGGCAATGGGTCGGACACGTTGCCCGAGATAATCCCGAAAAATGGACACAAAGATTAACAAACTGGAGACCAAGAGAGAACAGGCGAGGAGTAGGCAGACCGCAGAAGAGGTGGACAGACGATATCAAACAAGTCGCGGGCAAGCAGTGGATGAGAATTGCCAAAAGTAGAAATCGATGGAAGCAAATGGAAGAGGCCTATGTCCAGCAGTGGACGAATACAGGCTGAAGAAGAAGAAGATTGTGTTCCAGTTGTTTATGCTTATTTTATGTTGTTTTAGCCTTTAGTTTTTAACACAAATAAAAATAAAGTACTGGGGCCCAATGATAGGGCAAATATTGTAAGCCTTGATACCGGTAGCCCAAAATTTACCAACTTTATTAATAAAAACTACTTAAGATTGTGAGTATTGACTTATTTCTGATATACTAATATTATGGTCTCAAATAGGCATTCTTTTCATCGTTTATAGAAATATATTCTTAATCTATGATATAATACAAATCCTCTAGTTTTATAAGTTAAATAAAGAAACAATTTATATATTACAGCATACATAGGCATTAGTATCTCCATACCGCAAAAGAGATTTTCGGAAGGGTATAGCCGGGAAAACCATAATAATCTTCACGAAAAGCATACAATCGCTACTAACCTTGAATAGGCCACGTGTCACAACAGGGTTAGCAATGGAGTATCATGAGTCGCTAACTCAAGCTTTGGGTGGTAATAACATCATTTTGAGGTGGGTTAAAGTACAAAATGCGAATAAAGGCAAGTGCATTACTAATCAACTTGCTAGGAAGGCGACAGGCCAAAGACTCTATACTAATTCAGATTCTGGTGATTTTCTTGGTTGGTCAACTACAACAAATATGACTTCCACATACAAGTTGAGAAAAGGGTAAGTATGTAAACTTGCCAGTGTAACACTAAAAGACCTTAAAAAGTCAACATCAAAGAAGTCCTTCGGAATGACTGGGCAAAATCTACTTTTTCTTTATGTGCCGTCTTCTACCGAAGGTTGGCGACCATCAAACGATAGGTTTCTCTGTTTTAAGCCGCATGTATTATGTTCGCAGCTTCTGGTATGTGAAACCATTCTCTCAAGTTTCTCAGCCAGGATTTCTTCTTTCTGTCCAAACCTCTTCTACCTTCAATCTTGCCTTTCACGATAAGCTGTAGCAGACTGTACTTATCATTACGGAACACATGATCCAGGTATGATGCTTTCTTCCTTTTAACAGTTGTTAACAATTCCACCTCTTTACCCATTCGTCTTAATACCTCTGTGTTGGTCACTCTGTCTGTCCAAGGTATTCTCAGTATGCGTCGATACAGCTACATTTCTAGAGTCGCTTACTTCTTTATAGTTGTTGCTGTTAACGTCCACCCTTCTACTCCGTAATGTAGCATAGAGAGTACGTAGCATTTCGTGGCGCGCCATCGGAGGTTAACGCTTAGGTTGCGGTTGCTTAAGAGCTTTCTCATTTTGACGAAATTGAAAATTGAAATACCTACGCCTTACACTTTTTTTAACTGGTAATTGTTAAATAAGCAAACATCTTAACACTGAGGCTAGTAGATACATCTCTCTATGTAGAAATTGTGAAACGACAAGACGAAACTGACTAGCATGTCCTACGTAAATGTCCGAAGTTATCGTCGATTCGAGAGTATGCGTTCGGCGAGGCCCAAGTCACAAGGGAGATGTCCTCTGATGTCTTGTTCACTGGAAATGGCAGGTTAGACAATGAGCTATGGATGCCAGCTTACTGGAAGAATTCAAAATAAACCAATTCTGCAAAAAGTGCTGTCACATTGATATTGTGATCTCATTGATGTTTTCTATTGTAAACTTCTTTTTGCGGTTATAAACCATTGGAACTGTAGTTTTGTAAACTAACTTTAATGAATTTATAGAAATATTTTGGTTTTAGGTCTTTATTTAGGAGAACTAACAAGTTTACAGTTAAACAAAGTGCAATTTATCATTAAGAAATTGACAAAAAATTATTAAAACTAAACATTCATGGAAAAAAAATCGTCATTAATAGCCTGTATTTCCACCTCTTGCTTTATTGACAGCTTGTAGGCGACGAGACATGCTTTCAATTAACTCTGGTGAATTAACTCTCTTAGCTATTGCTCATCCCAGGACCAATTCATTCCAGACATGTATGATAGGATTTATGTCTAGACTGAGAGGTGGCCAATTAAACCACCTAATTTCCACTTCATCAAAATATTCTCTGACTCATCTGGAAGTGTGGGATCTAGCATTATCTTGCATGAAAATGCCATGTTCAATTATAAAAGACATACTTTGTGCTATGTACAAGTACTATGTGCGTACTTGTGAAATAATTCCTGCTGATATATTTATTTTATTTAATATTTCGTTAACTACTAACTTTATCCAAGGCATTTTATACCAAAATTCAGAAGTATTGATGTTGTTGTCTAATTTTCTTTCATTGCCTGGAGTAATTGCGTTAAATCAGAATTATGTAGTTGATTAGTAAAATGCGATTATCTCGAAAACTGTTGAGTTTTGAAGTTATTAACAAGTATACATTTTTTTGTTAAAATAATGTATTAATATTTTTTATCACGCATACTCGTAACTTAAAGAACAAAAAAGTTAAGTGCAAATGTATGCCACATATGTGGCATATGTGGCGCCCTCTATCAGCTACATTAACGTATGCATCAAATTATAATTCCTGATGTTCAATAGTACACAGTTATGGATTTTTATACATAAATGTTTACAAACATCAAAGTTATAGCGAAAATTAAAATTTTAAATTTCCACTTTAACACCCTATATCTTTCTTAATATCAACATTTTATTAAAGTAATTTGGCTTAAATCGCAATATTTTAAAGAGAAGAATCTACGGTTTCTTTGGTACAATTACTTAAGGACCACCCTGTATATTCTAACGGGTATTATAAGTTAATGTTGATTTCATGTAATCCAATAAACTACTAATAAAGTCGTCTCAGGAACGCAACTCAAAATTATTGACAATATGATTGTAAACTCATCTAATTTAAAATGTATATATCAATATGCCTGGATTGTTAATATGAATGAGTCAGACACAATAATTAAATTGATAAAAGATTTTTTTTTGTATTACCAAATAACACAACAAAATTTCTTTAATTCGTTTAACAGAACAATATTTGTAAACTTTATCCTGTCATACATATGTCTACAGTATATTTTTTTATATTTTGTGATTGTGAAGTTAATTTAAAATCGGGTATATTATTAGTTTTTAATAACTTCTGAAACCAGGAATCATGAAGTCTAGCGCGTAGGAGCATAAACTGGCTTTAGCAATTTAATAAAAACTAAGTAACAATAAATGAGTGATTGAATTACATTTTATTTATTATGTTAAATAAATTTAGGTCTAGACAGTCTATACTTATGGCTATATACATATAAAAGGCCAAAAAAGCTATTTGCAAAAGTAGATTGCATACTGTGTATTAAATGTCACAAATTTAGAAAAAGAGATTTTAAATTGAAAATCACTGAATCCATTTGAATTCAGGTAATTTTTTTATAAGAAATAAATATTAAAAACATGTTAAAACTTACTTTTAAGACTTTATTTTCAGTTTTTAACTCACTGGTTATCCTTTCCAATTCTGGATTTATAATTACTTTTACCGGCGACCACGGATAATGATCTTGAACATTTGAAAGTCTTTCTTCCATATACCTTGCCTTTTCAATAGATGAACGTGTTAACCTATTTTCATAACTGGTTGTTGGTCTATTTCTAAATCTACTACTATTGCTATCTATATTCCTATCGCCGCCATAACTATTGGGACTACCAATTCTAAGTGGTTCACCAGTCAATAATGAATTTGTTCGTAGATAAGTTCTACATGTAGGGCAATTTGGTAAGTATACATCTTCATGAGGTGAATAATTGTTGTTTGGGGTGCCTTCATTCTCTAAATTAATTTGAAAATGTTATTTAAGCGTTACATTAAAAAAAATTAAACAAAAAAAGCTAAAGAATTAACGTTAACAAACCTATACAGAATATTGCGAATGGCATATTGGGAAACGATGATTTAATTATTTACATAAAATAATACACAAAGTTCTCTCGAGGACTAACTAACTAGTCGGCAGACTACAAACCAGATTATCGAAATATTGTTTTTTTTTTCAACTAGATACAATAACCGCCACGTTACTTTAAAGTAAGGCTGAGGAGAAAGGATGTGCGTCACAGTTACAGGAGGAGTATATTTAAGTGGTAGAACAATTAGACAAGCTACTGAAGTTAAAAAATAAGTTTAGTTTTGCGCTTTATGGCAGTTACTGTGTTTAAAATTTTACGAATTTAAGTATGAATAAACACATGGACATACATTTCAAGCAAGTTTTTTTATTTTTAATGAAAATACTTTCAGAATTATTTAAGCTATATCTTAGTTATAGTATTGTTATAGATAATTTAAGCTTTAATTTGAAAACCTTTTATTAAACTGTTTGGTATAACCCAACAAGCGAGAGCTGGCGGGTTGCGCGTAGAACAAATTGAAAAGTGGAAGGAATTGCTCTTTTCTATTGCAGTCGGCTAGGAGTTCACATCGTGTATAACCGATTAAGTACCTATAGTATATACCTATAATCGCGATTAAGTACCTCTCCTATCTCTCTTAGAATAATTCCTTTTCTATTCGCGCAGCTCACCCGCCAGCTCTCGCTTGTCGGATTATACATACAAGTGAATACACTCTAACTTTGCGCTTACTAGATAATTTATATGCTGAAATATATGTGGATACTGATGAGTACTTTGCAAACGGAGATGATGGATTGTAAGCTACAAACTTTACAACTTATTATCCATTGATGTGTACATTTTCTCGATTTTACTGATTAGATGACTAACTTTCCTTCAATTAGAAGCATATGCTAAAATTTAATTTGCAAATACTGAGATTTTAGGCACAGACTACGCCTTTAGTCAGGACAAATTTGTGGCAGATATTACAAATAACGTAAGTAGATAAAATTCTTGTTTGAGTTTAAATATGCACAAATAATTGTGCGTATTATAACAATCGAAGAGTAAAACGATGCCCTCAAAAGATCGAAAAACGGTAAAGCAGCAGGACCTGGAGACATCCCAATTGAGTTGGTAAAGTATCGATCAAAAATATTACATGAGATGTTGGTTCAACTATTTAACAAATGCTTAAAAGGACAAAATATCCCTGATGATTGAAATATTGGATACATCAGCTCAATATTCAAGAAAGGGGATGAACGCAAATGCTTTAATTATAGGGGAATAACTGTTATCAGCTTAATGGGGAGTTTGTATGATCGAATAATAAGAGAAAGAATAGAATCAGAATACGAACACGGAAGAGAAAAATGGATTTCGTGCAGGAAGATCGTGCACTGATGGTATATTCGTTCGGCAGCAGGTAATCGAAGGAAGGAATCTATCTACCCACCTATTGTTTGTAGATTTAGAGAAGGCATACAATACGGTACCTTTGAAAAAACTGTTTCAAATATTGACGAAAGTAGGTTTCAGTAAAGAGTATGTGGATGCTATCGCAAATATATACAAAAATGCAAGAAGTGTCGTTAAAGACGGAAACTTTATACCTAAATCATTTCCAATAAGAAAGGGGCTTAAACAAGGATGTGTCTATCTCCGACCTTATTTAAAATATATATTCAATTATCGCTAGAGCAGTGGAGGAAAAAGTATACGGAATGGGAATAGACATAGGCGGTGGTAAATGTCTAACAACTTTATTTTTGTCCTAGCGAATGATGAGAAAGACATGAACTACATGTTTAGAAAACTAAATAAAGAATATGAAAAATGGGGCCTAAATATGAATATGTCAAAGACAGAATATCTTAAAATAGGAGATGATGAAGAAGGCCCCGAGTTAGAAATTAGAAACACAAAAACATGCAATGAATATAAATATCTCGGATCTATAATATCTAAAGAAGGAACTACCAAACAGACATCGAAAACAGAACGCAGCAGGATAAAAAAGCGGTTAACATTCTAAACTCTCTACTATGGTCTGAAGATATTAGACAAGAAACGAAAATGACAATCTATTGAACCTTGGTAGAGCCCATTATGACTTATGGGGCAGAAGTTTGGCATATCACGAAAAAAGATAAAAAAGAATAAAAGTAGTAGAAATGGATTTTCTAAGGAGAGCGTGTGGTGTATCCAAAAAAGATCATATCAAGAATGAATATATTAGAAGGAGGATAAATACCGAGTATTCCAGTGTAGACAGAATTGAAACGAGACGACTAGTGTGGTATGGTCACGTAAAGCGAATGAATTAAGATATATGGCCAAAAAGCTTTAAATTACATACCACAACAGAGAAGAAGAAGGGAGAGGCCTTCAGTTGCCTGGGAAGAAAATATACGGCAGATAATATAAGATAGAGCCATCAAAGAAGACGAATGGATGGACAGAAAACGATGATCATTAAACAATTACCAACTTGCCTTGCTATTCTGTCATATTTTGACCTCAAGGCCACTGTCTTTTCACGTTGTTTGGCATTGGGTGTTATACCTGTTGCTTTCATTTACCTTTAGCAGCTAATAAGCTAAAGACTGGTAACTTCATTTTACTTTTAAATATTATATTTCAATCTTAATCTATTCAATAATATTACCTAAGATCAAAATTAAATTTAACTAATAATACACTGTTGGAAGTGCATCTTATGATCTTTTATTTCTCTGCATTTTATTATTAATGTTTTTTACTTAAGTTTTTTACATAAAATTTTTATATACATGTACAATTACCACATGTTCTTTTGCTGTCCTAAGTTTGTTAATTTGTAAACTGTATCTAGTTTTAATTAATTGTTAATACAACATGATCTTAGAATATCCATTGTCGTAAGCTTTGTTACACATTTAATATCATTGACTGCTACATGTCTTTTTGAGGTAACACGCTTGTAATAACTTTTCTGTGGATGTTTGGTGTTTCATACTGTTCTTTTTAGATGAACTGATGATGCTTTCTGATTAGAAGGCGAAATGTCTTCACTAAATAGATAAAGTAGCCACCTTCTTTGGGTCCAATATCAAATCTTCAGAATTCATATCCGAAATTGGACAGTATAATTTTATCACCCAGTAGACCGAATGAATTTATTTGTTATTAAATACACACACGTAGTTAATTAGGTTTCATACGGATTTGGTCAATTATCAACAATATAATTTGGACATCAGTCAAAAGTGCTGACAAAGTTAAACAATTTACATAAATTAGACACACATATCACGCGAGGCCCGCGAATATATTCACCCAATTAAAACTTACATAAAACTAATATCTCTTTCCTAGAGAAGCATTCAATCAATATTCACTCAACAAACTTGATAGTCTTCAGCGATCAACTGCAACAGTCTCTACTCAAAGTAATCCCGGGTCAACACCCATAGTGTACGTCTCATCAATAAACTCTGCTACTATTATTTGGTGTTTCCATTACAACTGAACGAACATCTCCACTGAGCCAACGAAGGGGAATTGTTCATTTTTTTTTCACCTTTTGACCGAAAACCCCACCACTCTTTAAGTGATCCTTAAGTTATATTGGATTGACGGTCGTACTCCTTTTCTCCATATATATATATATATATATATATATATATATATATATATATATATATATATATATATATTTACGGCATAAAGTGAACTCCGCCCATGTTAAAATTCAGGTTCAAGTGAGCTCCGTGGTCAAGTGGACACCGATATACGGAGCTCACATGACCATTCCATAATATTGGCTCTGTCGATTCGTTAAGATGTATAGTTTCATAATTCTTAATAAAATTTTGGAGCTCATAAGTACCCCTGTATCATAAATGTATTTCGCTTAGTTCACGTGTATATATTATAGGGGTCGTTCAGATCTTTTTCACTGTATATTGGAACCATAGGAATATCGGTTTAAGTAAGCTCTGATAGTTTGGCAACTATGCACTTAGGCCAGCGTTCTTGATATATATATTTTATATATTTTAAACGGTTCATACGGACTCCTTTTCATACGCATTACAATATGTAATCTTCTTCTTCTTCTTGATGTGCCTATCCGTTATGAATGTTGGCGATCATATTGACAATATGTAATAGATATGTATAATACCAAATACCTGTTTTTGGTAGGTACCTGCTATTCTAAAAATAGCTTTATAAATACAAAAGGATTTCATTACCAAGTTGGACGTGTTTTTTCATCTGCGAATATTTCCTAATGTATTTTGTTAACATGAATATGTCTTTATACGTTTTATTTAAGAATACGATTAATAAGATCTTTTAGTTAATCCATTGTTTTACGATATCTTGTATCCAGCTTCTTTATTATTTTATTTCTGGTTTTATCTGTGTAATACATATAATTCTGGATAGGTTATCTTAAAATAAATATTTAAGTGCAAAAATAGATATTTGTATGTAAAAATTGGTAGTAGTGCACAAAAGAGGAAAGAATGCTGAATTTATATAAGAAGAATGTACCAGTTCACCAATATTACATACTTCTAAATGTTTTATCTGCTATTTAGGGGTAATATGTAATCAATAAACGTGGAGTGTGTCAAATTTGCAATAATCTTTGGTCAGTTTTTTCTCGATTTTAGTCATAAATTGAGCTGGTATTCGTTGAGTGGATGTTGCGATTCTAGACTTTGTATCTTTTATTCTCTAGCAGTCTAGCTACTTATCTTGGATATTAGGTGAATTGATAGCTACGATATTGTAGAGCTGTGTGATATACGTATGTATGGATGTGTGTGTGTGTGTGTCTTAATATTCGCTGAATTTGGCTGTCTAATTTATAGCTAAATCTTCGTGTTGTGTTGGTGTCATCCATACTTGCAAGGTATATTCGGTAGCAGAAGCATAGAG